GGAAAATGGACCTTGAAGTATTCCATTTTCCCCAAGATTTTTTTTTCCTGATTTTTTTCAGTGCTCCCTTCAGCTATTCCCATATAAACACAATCAACTTATAAGAACATTTAGTGGGGCTGGGGATGTGGCTCAAGCGGTAGGGCGCTCACCTGGCATGCGTGCGGCCCAGGTTCAATCCTCAGCACCACATACAAACAACGATGTTGTGTCCGCCAATAACTAAAAAATAAATATATTAAAAAAAAGAACATTTAGTGATGTGCTTTTTTTACATAACATTCTATCTATACACACATTCACATACATAAACATGACTGTTACTTTGATTTCCAACATACTAGCCTATTATACTATATGCCACGGTTATTACATTATGCAGAAAAAGCATGGAGTTGACAATATCAAATGCTGGCAAGGATGTGGAGCCACAGGAACAGGAATTTAACGCTGGTGGGCATGCGAAATGGCAGAGCCACTTTGGAAGACAGTGTGGTGGTTTCTTACAAAATTAAACATATTCTCACCACAGGATCCAGCATTCRTGCTCCTTGATTATTTACTCAAAGGAGTTGGAAACTTGTTTCTACACAAAACCCTGCACGCAGATGTTTATAGCAGCTTTATTCGTAATTTCCAAAACTCAGAAGCAAGCAGGACGTCCTTCAGGAGGTGAATAAATAAATAAACTGTGGCACATCCAGACAAGGGAATATTATTATTCAGCACCAAAAATAAATGAGCTATCAGGCCATAAAAAGACATGGAGCAGGGGCTGGGGTTATGGCTCAGCRGTAGAGCACTTGCCTCGCACGTGTGAGGCATTGGGTTCGATCCTCAGCACCACATAAAAATAAACAAACAAAACAAAGGTGGAAAAAAAAACAAAATAAATATACTTTAAAAAAGAAAGACATGGAGCAACCTTAAATGTACAAGTTAGGGCTGGGGGGATAGCTCAGTGGTGGAGCACTTGCCTAGCATGTGTAAGGCCCTGGGTTCAATTCCCAACACCACCCCTCCCATCAAAAAAATGTATAAGTGAAAGAAACCAATCTGGGAAGCTACATATTATATGGAGTCCAACTATATGACATTCTGGAAAAGACAGAACTATGGAGACAGTAAAAGAATCAGAGGTTGCCAGTGATTAGTAGGAGGAAAGGATGACTAGGCAGAGCATAGAGGATTTTTAGGGCAGTGAAACTACTTGGCATGATACTGTAATGGTGAATACATGTTGTTAAATATTTATCGAAAGCCACAGAATGTACAACACCAAATCATCATGTAAATCACCTATGGACTTTGGGTGATTATGTTGTGTCAATGTAGATTCATCAATTGTAACTGAAGTACCACTCTTGCAGGAGGTGTTGAAAATGGGGGAGGTTATGCAGTGCAGGGGCAGAGGACACATGGGAAATCTCTGTACCTTTCTCTTGACTTTTGCTGTGAACCTAAAACTGCCCTAAAGAAATAAAATCTTAGGTCTACGGGTATAGCTCAGTGGTAAAGTGTTTGCCTAGCATGCAAGAGGCCCTCAGTTTGATTCTCAACACACACACACATGCACGCACGCACACACACAAAGTCTTAGCAAGATATGGTGGTGCACACCTATAATCCCAGCTATTTGGGAGGCTGAGGCAGGAGTATCACAAGTTTGATTCCAGCTTCGGCAACCTCATGAGACCCTGTCTCAAAATAAACTAAAAAGGGCTGGGAATGTAGCTCAGTGGTTGAGTGCCCCTGGGTTTGATCCCCAGTACCACCAAAAAAAGAAAAAGAAAAAAAAATTTTAAAAGCTGAAGGATAAATAGTTATCACGAGTACTAACCTAAACTTTTCTCTCTGCTGTATATCTGGGTTGTTTCTCAACTTTTTGATATTAACAAAATATATTTCAAAGCCCTTCTATTTATATTGCCTGACTTGACCTGCACACTGTGTAAAATAAGTAGAAAGGGGCTGTTTGCGCATGCACATATTCCGGGATAGATAAAACGACTGTGTCTCAGGGAAGTAAAGAGACTCCTCTGGGTCACATCACAAATCAGTGACAAGGATTAGAATCCTGACCCTGCCTCCCTTTCCTGCCTCCAGTGGATATCTTTTCCCTTTAGCAGCCTCTTTCTGGATCAGAGGCCTCTCCAAAAATAGAGGCTGTGATGGTGGCCTGACCCCAGAACAGTACCTGCAAACAGAGGACCCTGTTGGCAGTGGTGAGCTCCCAGATGGCCCTTTGAAATTCCAGGAAACCAAACATTTTATTCCCAAACACCTCAAAGCCCATAGTTTCCCAGAGTAAGGAGCTCACTAGGAAAGGACCAGCATGCAAGCATTTGTTTTTCTTTTCTTCTCTCTCTCTCTCTCCTTTGAGGGGGTGAGGAGGCAAGCTCTGAGTTGTCCAGGAGGAGGGACTTTGACTAAAAATAGCTGTGGCGTGTAGATCAGCCCCTAGTGGTACCCAAGACCGGGGGAAGGAGGGGGATGCTCTGGAGCTGTCGCCAGACTGGTTGCCATGGAAACGAGAAAGGAGCAGGGGAGCCTGGGAAGTGAGGATGACACAGATAGCAAGTCCTAGTCGGAGCTGCCGCTACCTTTAGGAGAAACAGCAGTGTCTGCGGCTCCCATTCTCCAAGGGGGCCCATCGGGGTGGGGGCGGTGTCAGGGGCATGGACGGCACCCCCCCAGGGTCTCTGCTGCTGGCTACTCTCTTCTCCACGAGCTGTGAGTTGAGTTGTGGGGGACTTGGGGTTTGGGCCCCTGTATCCAAGGCAAGTGGGGGTTTGGGAGGAACTGGTTTCTGAGGGAGATTTTACCAGATCTCCTTCCAAAAAATGAGTCCCCTTGCTGCCCAGCACCCTCGAGGGGAAGGAAAAAGAGCCCAGGAAAATGTGGTGCTGGGATATTCTAGAAAGGGGTCATAGCATGCCCAGGAAGTAGGAGTAGATTTGGAGGAACTAGAATTATTGGAGGGAAGATGCAAAAGTCAAGTCCTTGATCTTGAGACAGAGGCAACAATTACACACCTTTCCTTCCCCATGACAGAAATACAGCCCCTCCTCACTCAGGAAAACAGGACATGGGACACATTCAAAAGAAGGCTCACTATATCCCTAGGACAATGGAGAGCAAGAGAGTTCTGGGGGTCATCAGACATTGGGGTCCCTTGCTCAAGCCTGGGCAGAGAGATAGAGGTCAGATTACCCAAACTCTGAGAGAATGTCTGGAAGCCACTTTGGGTTAAAGCTAGGATGCATCCTACCTGGCTACTTTACTGCATGACCTGGGGTCTCCGAGCCAGATCACTTCTAGGACATCCTGAGCTACAGGGAAGGGAGAAGAAGCCTGTTGTTGGGGGAGGGGGAAAGGTCCTAATCTGCTATTGCCAAGGTGACCCTGGATCCTCCATGGAGTTAGTTGTCCCATGACTCCATGGAAAATAAATGTGGGAGTGCCTCTAAGTTCCAAGTCATCTCTTTTTCATTTCTCCTTCTGTCCTCTACCCTAACACATACATACTCTCTCCAAAGGTCTGGGTGCAAAGCACTTGGCTCCAGAGTTTAAAATCCAGGGTGTTGGATTTGCAGTTATATGTCCAGCCAGTTTCTCCCCAGGAACTGGTCAAACATCCAGGCCATCTGTGATCTTTTTTGCCACACTCCTGCTTCCCTCCCCCACAGCCAGCCCAGGCTTCCTTGGAATTGGGAGTAGAGGACAGTTCCCAGGAAAGAGGAGGGAAGGTTGACTGTTCCTAACTCCTTATTCTAGACTTTTCCTTTTGTGGTTCATACTGCTTAGGAGTCCCTGGGTGACTAAGAAAGGACTTCAGACCTCTGTCTCTCCGGGCAGATTGCAGCTCAGAGAGCTCCTCAGAGGAAGAATTTGAAGCAAAATCAGGTGGGCTTCGCTTGGAATGTAGGCTTTGGGACATATGGCAGGTGGGAGTGGGGTTGGCTTAGGATAGTGAATGGGAAGTAGGAGGCTGTGAGAAAAGAACTAGAGCAGGCAGGGAAATAGATGAGGTGCTCAGTGCTTCACTTGGTCTGATTTCATCTCTCATGAGGAATAGTGTGCCAAGGGCATAACTCTGGATGAGCTCAGTGGGTTTCATCCTCTACTTTCAGGCTGTCTCCAGGGGGAGAGCACCCAGGGAAAATGGCGTGACACTAGAGCAGCAATGATCATAGTTAGGCCTCCAGGGGCATTTCCAATGGGAATGTCCTACTGTGGAAATATTCAATCCTTGCTTGCTACAGCTTACATTTCTTTCTCCTTGGTAAGTCTGTTGTGGGGGGGGGGGGGGACTATAGGGAGGAGTGGATAGAGTGAGGTCCAGGGAGGGAAGAATGGGAAAGGCTTTTTGTGCATCCATCTTGAGTTGAACTTCAAAAGAGCCTTCAGGTTGAACCGTAGAGAATTCAGTGGGTGGTTACACTGACCAAGTCCTTAGGTCAAGAAGAGAGGCCAATTAACTGCCTGCCCCCAAGGAGCCCACGTCTAATGATTTCAGAAATTCCCTCATGGCCTGAGTGTTTTGTCTAGGGACTTTCCTGTGAGGTGCTGAACACTCCAGCTAGAGGTGTTGACCCAAGGTTTAGGTCCTGGAGTACCTCCTTTTCCTGAAAAATAATCGTTGAACTTGCATTACTATGAACTATATCCAGTTCATGTGCATTTACCATTTAATCAACACAACTTTTTGAGCTTAGGGGCAGATAGCGTTGTGTGCATTATTCCCCTTGTACTGATAGGAAAACTGAGGCAAAGAAACACAAAGGGAGTCCCTCAGGGCTACTCCACTCGGTGCTGGCCGAGACTTCTCGAGTTTCCCCCATCCCGGGAAGGTCCATTAACTCGGTAAACTTTTATTAAGCCCCTCCAGGACCCCCGACGCCACAGAGGGGCCCCCGGCCGTCTCCAGGCTTGCTCTGTGCCTGCACTGAGGACGACGCCTGCAGCCTGTCGCCGGTCTCCTGTCGCCCAGCGCTGTCATGGCGCAAGAAAATGCGGCCTTCTCACCGGGGCCGGAGGAGCCACCGCGGCGTCGCGGCCGCCAGCGCTACGTGGAGAAGGACGGCCGGTGCAACGTCCAGCAGGGCAACGTCCGCGAGACGTACCGCTACCTGACCGACCTGTTCACCACGCTCGTGGACCTGCAGTGGCGCCTCAGCCTCCTCTTCTTCGTGCTCGCCTACGCGCTCACCTGGCTGTTCTTCGGCGCCATCTGGTGGCTGATCGCCTACGGACGCGGGGACCTGGAGCACCTGGAGGACACGGCGTGGACGCCGTGCGTCAACAACCTCAATGGTTTTGTGGCCGCCTTCCTCTTCTCCATTGAGACCGAGACCACCATCGGCTACGGGCACCGCGTCATCACCGACCAGTGCCCCGAGGGCATCGTGCTGCTGCTGCTGCAGGCCATCCTCGGCTCCATGGTGAACGCCTTCATGGTGGGCTGCATGTTCGTCAAGATCTCACAGCCCAACAAGCGCGCCGCCACGCTCGTCTTCTCCTCTCACGCGGTGGTGTCCCTGCGCGACGGGCGCCTCTGCCTCATGTTCCGTGTGGGCGACCTGCGCTCCTCGCACATTGTGGAGGCGTCCATCCGCGCCAAGCTCATCCGCTCGCGCCAGACCCTGGAGGGCGAGTTCATCCCGCTGCACCAGACSGATCTCAGCGTGGGCTTCGATACCGGTGACGATCGCCTCTTCCTGGTCTCCCCTCTTGTCATCAGCCATGAGATCGATGCTGCCAGCCCCTTCTGGGAGGCGTCGCGACGTGCTATGGAGAGAGACGACTTCGAGATCGTGGTCATCCTAGAGGGCATGGTGGAAGCAACGGGTGCGGGCGAGCTCTAGGAGGGGAGGGATCGCGAAAAAGGAGGGCCTGGGAAGTTGCAGAAGGATGGACCAAAAGATGGTGAGGTCAGACATCGAGGTGAGATAGTGCAGCCTGGCACCTAGGTGGAAGCTAGAAGTATGAACAGAGTGAGGGCCGGGGGACCCCTACTGGAGCAATGTGTCACATGAAGTAAGAAGAGTAATAATAATCCATAACACTGGTAATACTTGCTCTGTGTGATGCACCATTCCCCCCCCCACACACACACATACCTTTGTGTGTGTGTGTGTGTGTGTGTGTGTGTGTGTGGCACTGGGGATGGAACCCAGGGCCTCACTCATGCCAGGCAAGCACTCTAGCACCAAGGGACATCCCCAGTCTTCAAAGCCCTTTATACCTTTCAGTTCATTTAATTATAGCAAGAACCCTCTGAAGGTAACTTATTGTGTTCATTTTTCAGAGATGAGATAGCCCCCAAAAGAGTGTACGTGTTCCATTGTCATTAGCCAATAAGTAGCTGTGCCTGGATTGGACATATGAGATCTAGCTTCAGTGCTTAGTGATCCCTAGTTGGAATGAAAGTTTAGGTTCAGAATTTTTCTTGTTGCCAAGAGGTCTGGGCTCCCTGAATGGGATGGTGAAGGTTTTCCCTGGCAGGAGTTATTCCTGGAAGAGGACCTTAAGGAGAGGTTGATACCTAGTTTCACTTCTGTCTCAGTTATCCCATCAACTCACCAAGACTCTCAACTTCTACTGACAAGGAAATAGATTATGGTACCGATTCTGGCCCCTTCCCAGAAGGAACTGGAGACTCACATGTGATGTCAGTATCTTCAGCTTGGGCCTACACAGTGATGTGTTTGGGAGCAGGTATGAATAAAATAATATAGGAGCAGAAAATTTCCTTAGGACTTGAGATCTAGAAGTTGGATGAGAATAAGGAAAATGCAGGTGAGGAATAAAGGCCCTAGGGGGCGCTGCAGCTCCGCTACTAGGGCCAGGGCTGTAGCTCCCYGCTATCATTTTATGACAAGCTGGTGCCTTCAGACCCCTTCCTTGGCCCCTTCAAACTGAGATGAGGCTTCAGCCCCACCCCACCCTTACTAACTCCCCTCTCAATGTTCTCATTCCACCTTCACTCAGACTGGGCTCACTCAGCTCTCTCCCTTCCCCACTCACCCTATTCCCTTTCCTTACCTCTAGCTGTCACTCCTTTTTAGCCAGTATCTCAGGCAGGACCCTGGGAACCTCCTGACCTGCTCTCTTTTCCCTTTGAACCTCAGTCCCTGCCTTTCTTCCTATCATCCCCCCTTTCTGCAGTGACTCTCGTGCCTTTTCTCCTCCCCAGAGGGATTCTTCCTATTCTAGCCTTCCCCCAAGATGTCTCAGGGCCAGACTTTCAACGTTAGAACCAGTCTCTGGTTAGTTAATAGTCACTTTCTGTTTCCCCCTTGTTTGGAGATGAACTGGGGAGAGACCCCGGTGTAGGAGGAGACTGACTGGCCCTGGGCGTGCAATAGCCCAACAGGGAGAATTGGGGAGGGTGAGGTAGAGATGACAGGGATGGGAGCTTGTCTGATTTTTCTAGAGCAATAAAGCTAGGAAGGATGGTAATATTTTAGGATTTAAAGTGCTTTTGAAAAACAAGAATAATGAGCCAAAACTCAACAAGATGACATTTTAAAGGAATAAATATAAAATTCTACATTTAGGCTTTTAAAAAAAAATCACTTATGTAAGCACAGCATGGAGCTCTGGTGAAAAAAAAAAAAAAAAAAGAAGTGGGGGATTTAGTTGGCCACAGGCTTGCAATGTGATGCAGCTTCCAGAAGCGTTTATGTAATGTAATCACAGGCCCTATTAGCTGCAGCATCCTGGCCAGAAGCAAGAGATAGTGAGCCTTCTTTTATGCATGATTCAGGCCACAACTGGAGAATTTATCGCACTCAAAGGGACACTTCAAGAGTCCTCTTTGGCCTTACTGGTTTGCAATCAAGAAAGTAAAATTTTTCGCCAACAGGTCAGGTTTGGGATATTTAGTTGGAAGAAAACAAAAGGGAACCTGAATCCTATTTTTATATACTCAAAGGAGTGTCAAGTAGGAAGAGAATGAGACCAAGGGGTAGAAATCCCAAGAGAAAGATTTTAGTTTACATAAAGAAAAACAACCCAAGTATTAGAGCAATCACACAAAGAAATGGGCTTCTTCTCAGACCGTAGGCCATCAATCCTGGAAGGTAATCAAGTAGATGCCCATTGTTGGGAACCCAATGCGGAGTGGGAAATTGAAATAGACAATCCTTAAGATGAGTTTCAAGGTTAAGGAGGGGGAAGCATGAGCCAGGAAATGAAATGTGGGTAGACAAGAACAGGAATTGGAACGGGGAAGAAAATAGGCTGGACCAAAGTGAGGTGGGGGCCTGGGGGAGAGATGGCAGGGAGGGTGCTAGGAATGGGACTGTGGGGTAGAGACAGGAGAGAGAAGCCTGGGGCTGGGATCCCCTGACCCATGCTCCTTTTCCCCAGGAATGACATGCCAAGCTCGGAGCTCCTACCTGGTGGATGAGGTGTTATGGGGCCACCGCTTCACATCAGTGCTGACCCTGGAGGATGGCTTCTACGAGGTGGACTATGCCAGCTTCCACCAGACTTTTGAAGTGCCCACGCCCTCATGCAGTGCCCGGGAGCTGGCAGAGGCTGCAGCCCGCCTTGACGCCCATCTCTACTGGTCTATCCCCAGTCGGCTGGATGAGAAGGTGGAGGAGGAGGGGGCAGGGGAAGGGGCAGGGGGGGAAGCTGAGGCTGACAAGGAACAGAATGGCTGCCTTCCACCCCCAGAGAGTGAGTCTAAGGTGTGACCAGTTTCCTCCAAACCCCTGTAGCAGACCGGGGGCCAGACACAGGTACATAGGGAGCTGGATGTTGGAGGTGGAAGAGGAGCCAGGTGAGGTCCCAGAGAAGGTGCTAAAGTTAGAGAGGTTCCTTGAGAACCTTGAGTCCAGAATACAAGGGAAGGGAAGTTCCCTGATTTGAGGAGAATGGAAGATGGGGATGGGCAAACACACCATCTCTCTGTGTTTGACCTTCGCCATCTGTTCATGGGTGGATAGATGGGCAGAAGGATGGTATTATGGGGGTTAGATGGGAAGATGGTGACAAAAAGGCAACTGATGGATAGGTAAATGGACCAATCAGTTGGTACCATTTATCTGGACAGCGGGTGCACTCAGGGCTGTAGCTACCATAGCACACCTTTGTGCAAATTCTAAAAAGGCATCTTTTTCCTCCAGACACATGCAGCCCCAAACCAGGATGCTTGGCTTGGGGAACAGTGTGAGATGGAATGCAGTCCCCACTCACCTCCTCGGCATCCTCTCTGTGTGTGACACACCTATCTCAAATGAATAGAGTAGCCCAAGCCGAACCAGAGGAGAGAAAGCCAGACAGATGCRGGCACAGATGAGGACCACCCCCCAGCTCTACCCTCCCGCTGGACAGACTCAGGAGGAGGTAACTTGCTGTGAGAGCTCAGCAAGTTTCAATGGCCTTGGTACTCAGGTGTAGGGCAACAGGCAGTGAGGACAGATGCTGGAGCTGGGGCTCTGGAGCAGGTCCTGGGAGGGGGGATCCAGGGATGGCTATTTTCTGACAAGAGATAAGATTTTGCGGGTACTACTGCAGAGGTAGGATGGGAGAGATGCAGAAGCAAAGGGCCAGGGGAGAGATCTAGAAAGTGTTGTCCTGGAGAGAGATGGTGGTTCCAGGGGAAGCAGAGTTTGTCCTTGAGGCAGAGTTAGGCAGATTGTCCAGATCACTGATTGAGCGCTAGATGCGGTAGACCTTCAAAGATCTCATTCCTGGACACATGGAACGAGCACACATACAGCTATGGCAACTGAACCAGGTGCCGTTGGCACAGAGAACCTATGCTGTCTCTTGGAGCAGGGAGTGGGCGGCGTCTGGTGATCAGATAGTAGGAATTGGGTCAGGCAGAGAGAATGATGAAAGGCCAAAGTTGTAAGACTTTTCTGGGCATTAGAATCACCTGGCGGGCTTGTTAAAACGCACAGTGATGGGCCCCACACCCAGATTTCTGACTCAGTAGGTCTGGGGTGGAAACCAAAAATGTGCATGTCTAACAAGTTTCCAAGTCATGCTGACGCTGCTGGACTGGGAACCACACTTTAAGGGGTCAAATAACCTGGGGAGTAGCTGAAAAGAAACTGAGACTCCTGGGGGAGCCGAGAAATGTGAGAGGTAGAGTTTTGTGTATGGGAAAAGAGACCCAAGCCCAGGCTAACGAGTTTAATTTTGGGACTAGGGATTCAGTGGGAACTGGTCAATGACATACTGAGGTGGTGTTTGGTAAGACAAATGGGCAAGACACATCGGACCAAGTAGTTGGAAGGAAGGCCTTTTGGAGACTCCTAAAGAGGTAATGGGGAACTGAAACAGAAAGGGCTTCAAAGGCAAAGGACCAAATCCCTTGTAGAATTGAAAAGGCAGAAGTGAACATGGGAGGAAACGAGAGTCCAAACATCTGGGTGTGTTGACTGCCTGCCGTCAGGCCCCCTGGAACAGGAATCCCTGGAGATACACAGTCTCACCCCAGTCATCCCAGGATGGCAAGGGGAGAGCAATGAAAAGTTGAAAAAAGGCAGAAGGTTGGTTGAGAGAACCTGAGGTTGGCTTCCTGGAGAAAAGTACCGCCCAGGCGAGCGCACCCTGAAGGGACCTACCAGGACCTTCATCTCCCAGCCTGACTGCTCCCCACTCACGTCTCTGAATAACAAGTCTCAGCCCCTTGAGGGGAGGCAGACACCCTAGTCTGTTCCATCTCAGGCTGGGAAGCCAGGATCCTAGTGGCTCTGCACCTTCCAGAGGCAAGAAGGAAGACCTAAGCCCCATGCCTTCCCTTCAGTCTAGGCATGGGTGTCTGCCTCGGGTCCCAGGGCCACCTGGGTCACCCTCAGTCAGAGACAAGGTCCTAGAATGCTGATGACAGCTATTCTCCCAAGAATAGATATTGGGGTAGGGGATGGGGAGCAATCTGGGTTTAATTCAGTGGAACAGGTGAAGTCTATAGTGGGGGTCTTCTTGGTCCACACACACACACAGCACTGAAACCACTGTAATTAAACAGAAAGAGAAACTGAGGCTAAAACAGATCCCTCCTTCCCCTGGAAATCACCAAGTTGGGGCCACACCTGTCCTCACCACTGTCACCACTCAGGACACCACTGTACAGTGCAAAGAGTCAGGAGACCTGGGTTTTAGTGCCGACACCGTCACTGACTCGCTCTATGACTTGTTCACATCCCAGAGAAGTGATGCTCATCAAGTTTCATCACTTCTCTGGGCCTCAGTTTCCTCATCTGTAAAAAACGACACTTAGCAAACCAGCTATGCTCAATAAATGTTAAATAATTAAATTAAAAGAGGTAGACTGGATGCCTCTATAGGGGCAGAACAGGCCAGAAGTTTAAGATCAGAGGATCCTTAGGAAAAGGGTGAAAGTAGGCAGGGTGGGGAAGCCAGCAGGGTGGGGTATGTAGGGGTAGCAGCTTGGTGGACACAGTCAATGGAGGCCCTCCCCTGAATGCTGCTGTCCCTGTTCTAGGAAGCCTATTCTGCTGTGTCAGAAAGCATAATTAAGGTCAGGAGGAAAAAGACTGAGGCCCCAGGGCCTGGAGGGAGGAGACAGGTTTGAAACTAGCTCTGACTAGGAAAATGAAGACAGGCAGGGGGCTGTGGCCAAGTCAGGGGAGCTCAGAAAGGCGCTGCCCCTGGAAGTCCCTGCCCATAATGTGGGAGAAGGGTCCCCTCCCCAAACAGGAGCCCCCTTAGGAGTTGGTTCAGCACTGACAATTCAGGCAGCAGATGGGACCCAGGTGTCTCCTCCTGGGGTGGGTGACAAGGCCCATGGAGGCCAGATGGTGTTTATGGTGGGAAGAGAGGYGTGGTTTGTCCAGGTTATCAGCCCCCAACAACCTCCCTACTGCATACCCCAGCCTTTTACAGCCTCGTGGCAGGAGAAGGATTTTATAAAACAGCTAGGCCTGGATTTTATAAAACAAATTTATTCACATTTTAGAAAACTAGTTCAAGGACATGGAATAGCCTTTTTATATGACCAAGAACAGAGGCCAGAGGGAGGAGCTGGGGCAGGAAAGTGTGGGGCATGGGGCCATGTCTCCCACTTTGCATGGGGGTAGGTCAAATAAATTAAAGGAAGGGTGGCCAGAGGGAGAGGGTATCCGGGCAACCAGAGGAGGACTTGGAGCTGGCTGGAAGACAGTTGACACCTGCAAGAACTGGAGAGAGAATGCAGCGTGGACTGAGGACAAGCCCTAGGTGCAGCTCCCTCTCAGCCCTCGCCCCACTAACAGGATCCTACAGAACCACGCTGGTTGCTCCTCCTCCAGGTGGGGCCCAGGAGGAAGCCACTCAGCAGTTGGGGGAAGCCTAAAGAAGACAGGGCTAAGGTTTCTTCCCCTCACCTGTGGAGCAAGGGATCACCGTTTTCGAAGCCTCTTCATGAAGCAGCAGGTGATGGTGGCAAGAATGGTGGCGCCAGTGACTAGGGCCACTCCTGTACCCACCAAAAGGGGCACAAATAGGGTGTCCACAGCTGAGTGAGAGAGGATGGCTGTGTTCAGGGGGAGTGCCATCGTTCCCCACCCTCCATCACACTCTCGCCTTCAGGTTCTCTGGACTCCTCCCCTACATGCACAGAGAGCCCTCCCTGCTCCCTGCCTGCCCTCTGCCATGGCACAGATGGGCACACAGGGGCTCTTCATGCGAAGTGATAGCAGCAGGAGGTTGGGAAGATGGAAAGGGAAGAACAGGACAAGGGCTGGGAGGAAGCAGAGGTATGGCAGGTGGAGGGAGGGGAGTCACTCACCATGCATGTAGGGGTAGACTGTGACAGGCCCCGAGCGGGCACTGCCTGCCTGGTACCAGCTGTAGTCAGCATGCTGCACCCAGGCGCTGGGGGCGCAGTGGTACACACCTTCGTCCTCAGGCCCCAAGCTGTGCAGTCTCAATCGATGGCTTCGGGGACCCACCAGCTCCACGCTGACAGGGCCTCCACCTGGTCGGACCCCCAGCTCTGCCACACCATCCTGGTCCACACCGCCTACCAGCTGGGCAGGGCCAGAGCTCAGCTCCCCCTCCTCTAGTCGCTCCACCCACCAGCTGGCAGCCAGCCGCAGCCCTGGGGGGCCGCCACGCACAGAGATATTGCACAACAGGGATGCAGTCTCCCCACGGTACACCGTGCCCCCTGCTAGCCATGCCACAGCCTCCAGTGCCACTCCTGCAAAATGAAGAACATGGGATCAGAGAGCGAAGAGTCAGGATTTATGGTGTCAGGGTTAGTGTTGAAGCAAGTATCCAGAAAACTCAGGTTATTCCCACAATCCTGATGGAAGAGTGAGACTGAAGAACGGCAACAGCTAATGAACTGGGATAGGGGCACAGAAATAGAAGGAAAGGGTCCTAGAAGCCCCAAACCCTGCTGAGAACACAACCCCATCTCACCTTCCTCTCGTACATGCACAGGAAGAGGCCGGGAGCGGGCACTGGCTGCTTCTCGAAGCCGAGTCCCAGACCCTCTAACGTAGGCTTTGGCGAGACAGCGATAGGTACCCGCATCCCCAGGCCTGGCAGCCTCTAGCCGTAGACGGTAGGTTCTAGATGCCACCTTCTCCATGGCAATGTGCCGGTCCTCATAGCCAGGGCCCAAGCTGCCCACGCCTTCTGTGTCCAACTGGGCTACCAGGCGGCCAGGCCCGGGTGCCCCTGCAGGGGCCATCTCCCAGCCCACAGAGTATGCAGCATGAGGGCCTGGTGGGGG